GTAATAAGCGCCCTGCTCGAATAAGCGCCCACAGCGATATTTGTTAATATATTGGCTTGTGAACAATCCCAATTAGCACCCCTTACAATTGATCGATGGACACAAGACTTATTTATTCGTGTATAATACGCACTTGTGTGTTATATGCACCCTTAATTATGGGCAATTAAATTCTGGAAAAAAATATATCTGTCGTATTTAAACATTTCAAGCTATCTATGCAAGCATAAACCACGAAATTTATCTTTCAACTCTGTTGTTCTCTCACCAAAATACCATTCTAATAAGAGCCCCCTATTTCTAATTTTGGGAGCACTTATTTCGTCGAATACGGTAACTGTTTATGTTATCTGTGAGCGTTGTTATTGGGAAGCTGAGTTCCATTGTGTATATATTTTTTCTGCTCTGAGCTTAGTTAAAGGGCCAGTATGTCGATGATTCTGACGCATTGTTTGCAAACAATAGCCGATAACCCCAGAGCTTGCTTGGCATATTCCACAAGAGACGTTTCTACTCCATTGACCACACGTAGGCTTATCACGTGACTGGACTTTTCTCTTGTTGTAAACAAACGCAATGGTTCTAAAATAAGAACAGACGGGTCCATTACAAGCCTTTTGGTGTCCTTTACATGTTTTGCATAATTATATATATATGCGAATACAACTTTACACATCAAAGTGACCATATCGCTAGCTCTCTGTATAACTTTGATAAAGCCTGTGAAGATCCAGGGTAGAATAGGTCTTCAGGAACCCATACTTGCCATAAAAGGCGACTATGCTTGTCGTAAGAGGCAACTAACGGGATTGGGTGGTCAGGCTCGCTGACTTGGTTGATGCATGTCAATTGTGTGGATCTTTGATCATGATGTCAATCACTGGATTGTCTGGTCCAGACTTGATTATTTACAGACCGCTGTTATATAGCTGGAATAGTGCGGCGTTAAACAACAAATGGAAATAGTTTTTCATGTTTCAGGATATTTTCCTAATAAAAGTAAAACATCTAAATGTGCTGATGAAAAAGATTTGCAATATCTTGAATGGACTGTGGAAGATGTGATGTAGGAGAGATACTAGCCTTGCCGCAACTAACTCTGGGTAGGAGAGTGCAACATGATTGGCTTCATAACAACCAAGGCATTTATACTGTAATCTAGGCTTTGATAAACACTGGCTTCTAATCCAAAAATAGTAAGAGATAATGTGTCGTGGAAGTGTTTGTGGAACAGGAAAAAGGTTGGCATTGGCCTCTTTTTTCTTACCAAACCAACAATTTTCCACGATTTGTATTTCAAGTTTATGGGGAACAGATGATCCCAAATTCCTCTGCTTTGTGAGGTAGACTAGTTATAGGTTTGAATCCCAGTTTGGTTCTGAATACACACATAAGTCTGTCAGTACCAAATCCACTCTTGGCGGTTTCGACATCTTTTCCAGGTGACAGGCACCATTTTAGAATTAGAATAGGTCTTCAGCAACCCATGCTTGCCATAAACGGCGACTATGCTTGTCATAAGAGGCGACTAACGGGATCGGGTTGTAAGGCTGACTGACTCAATTGATACGTGTCATCGATCTCAATTGCATGGAAAGATGCTCATGATATTATTCACTGGATTTTCTGGTCCAGACTCGATTATTTACAGATCGCCGTCATATAGCTGGAATATTGCTAAGTGCGGCATTAAACAACAAACCAACCAAACCAAGAATAATTTGGGGCAGATCCTGGCATGGCTAAGGGTGCACAGCTAATTGTGGGGTCAACATTAGGGGACACATCTGCCCCCATAAAGAATATGAATCTTAGTCATGGCAGCTTTGAAGAAGCGTGTTTGACATACATGTCATTTAAAAATAATTCAATAATTTTTGCATTTATGGAAGTATCAATTTAAACACTGGTGATTAGGGGATTTACGTAAAGTGAGCCCACCATTTCTTATGTTATGTTAATACCTTTTAAACTAAAAAATATTGAAGTCGATTCTTTAAAATATTGTCAACAACAGTAACTAATAAGCCAAAAACAAACAACCTGTAGATGACTCTATTAAGTCAGTGACATAGTTCAGCGCTGTAATGTCACCTCATCAATGAGGTTTGCGGAAACAGAAGTGCCAAACAAATTACTTGGTTGTCCAATAAAATGCCACAGAATCTATTCAAATTATTTCTATGTTACTGACCTTCCGGTCTTCAAGAGGTAAACTGTTTTATCTTGAGGCCATAACAGCCTAATTACTAATTTTCCTTCGTATTTTACCCCAATAGAGGAACAAATATAAAAAATATATATATATTTAATGATAAAAATGCAGTGACTCAATTTATTACAGCATAGTACCGATTGACATATTTTTTCTTGGATTCATTGTGCAGGGAGGGAGGGAAGTGCTATCCTTTCACTTCAAGTGAAGGTTTGAATGGGGGTGTGCATGACAGAGCAAACTACAGATATAGTGTACCGGTAAAGTAGGACATGAAAGGTCACAAACTAGATTCTGTTATTTCCCATCACAGATGTTTGTGTGCTGGCGGCGAGATGGGTTTGGGGTTTGGGGGAAGGAAAAGTTTTTGGGGTGATAGGTGTATTTGTTAATCCAGTAATGTAAGTTTGCTTGCCTATGAGTCTTTTTTTTATCGAATACATATACTGTAAATCTTGAAATTAATGCATCTCCAAATTAATACGACTGCTGACCCCTAGCCAAAAATGCAACTCAAAATCAATGCGACTCGCCCCACCCCATCCCCAGTGGAATGATATATATCCTTACTTTAATCCAATCAAACAGCAAATAGCACTGCTTATTAGCACTTCTGTAATAACAATAAGCATGTTTTAAAAAAAACAGTTCACTGACTGGAGTGGTCAAAGATGTCCAGTTTGACACGAGTGGGTAGAACTCTTGACCCCAGCAGTGATAACTCACCGGATGTCTATTGTGTAATTCCTATTCCTTAATTGACTTTGTTATATACTTGTTACAACTGCTGCTCAGCAAACCGTGTCTGTGTTTATATTCAAGTTGGTATTTCCACTATCCATAGTGTGCAGTGAGGCCGTCTCATTGTTGATAGTCACTTTGGAGACATAAATGCAAAGTTTCAAAATGCGCATTTTTCGCATTTAATTCATGCTCACGTTTATTTCAAGATTTACGGTATCTACAGTCTGTTTCATTTTCCTATCTACAGACAAGTGTCAAGAACTGTAACGTAGCAGAGTGCAGCTGATTATTCAACACCTGTCAGTTCAGAAAGCGGAGTTAAATCTTCTGTCACATCTTTTTAGTTGATATTCAGTTTATTTTGTAGGACAGGCAAGAGTAATTCATGAAAGTTTGAAGTTTCCAAAAGCAACTAGGAACAGTGTCCAAAATAGCTGTCTGTCGGCAGTCCCGTGGCTGGTGACAGTTCTGTCTGGATGGTGACATTTATCCTTGCCTGCCCAACTGTCAGATGCAAATTTCATCATGTGTTATTGTATTTTTTTTTACAGTCTGTGTAGTAAGGCTGGGACGAGTCCAAATTTACTACCCGGGTACCCACCCCCCTATTACCCTACCCTACCCACGTACCCACTGTAGGCCTCAGGAGATGTCTCAAAATGTCTGATTGGGAAATTTTTTAGCATAGCCCTGGCAAAACGTATTTAGATACACGTATTAAACAATCTGGTCATTCATACACTGAAGTTGAATTAAGTTATATCTTTATTAAACCACATGAAAAATCAGAAGGTATGGGTGCATAGTCAGAAAGAAATGCGAACATTAGTGACTTGTAGTGTAACCAAAGAGTTATAGATTATTTTTGTCATTAAACAATATATCGCATGACTAACCACGAGTCCGGATAGTCCTGTGGGTACCCAAGTTACCCGTCACAGCCCTACTGTGTAGATTTACTGTATCAAACATAGCATTTGCTTTACTGCAAATCTCGACTAAATTTCACTGTGTCGACATTGCCTGTTTTTTTTTTTAACTTTTAAAGTTTCCCTGGCCCGTGAAGATCCTGGGTAGAATAGGTCTTCAGCAACCCATTCTTGCTGTAAAACGTGACTATGCTAATGGGACTGGGTGGTCAGGCTTGCTAACTTGGTTGATGCATGTCATTGTATTCGAAATTGCGTGGATCATTGCTTATGATGTCAGTCACTGGACTGTCTGGTCCAGACTCTATTATTTACAGACCGCCGTCATATGGACTATTGCTGAGTGCGGCGTTAAACAACAAAGAAAAATACAGTTTTCATCTGTTTGGTTCACACTCACGAGGAAGCAAAACATTGTGGAGTGAGTGAGTGAGTGAGTGTGTTGTGTTTTTACGCAGCTTTAAACAGTATTCCAGTTATGTCATAGAATGTTAGTGGAGCTGGAGCAGAGCTGCATCACTTCTGGCTTTCCTCCAATATTACGCTGGAAATCCAGGATATAACTGAAATACTATTCAAAGCTGTGTAAGCCCAACTCACTCACTCACTCACTGTTTATCTGGACAGCCTAATAGATAATAAACCGCTTTTTGTTCTTAAATCAAATCAAGAATCATGTGGACTCACATGAACACATGAATTAATGTAAGTCAGGCCTCGCTAGCTCGGAACATGCCCTTCTAATATTGATAACACATAACAGTTGCAAGGCTTCATTTCTATGCATATTTTATGACATTTGCAAATTGATTTTTAAATTTATCCTCAAGTACTAAATATGTATGAAATTATGAATATTTTAGATCTGTATATGTTTTTTTATGTGACTGGGAAAATTCTAGTAATTGATCAAATATTATCTGTTATTAAATATTCTCCATAACAACTGCGACAAAACAGCATTATACAATAACAGTAGCTTCATCAACTATTACTGTGTTGGATCATATCTCAGCCTGTTGACATATATTGTGACATATATTGCCTTCGTTTGAAATAATTGATTCCCCACAAAGGTGCCTCTCTCTATGCAGTCTATTCACGACTGCTGAATTATGGGTCAGCTAGACTTGAATGCATTAACAATTCATGAAATCTCAATTCAGTTTTCCTTTGACAGGTTGAGTGGGAGAAGCTTGGACGTTATTTCACCGAACAGACAGGCAGGGTGGCTACTTAGATGCTAGATGAAGCAGTTTGTCTGTGACTTGGAAGGAAGGTTTACAGCTCCACCATTCAATAAGCAGACGCCTAGCAGAGCAAGCAGACTGCAGTGCGAGCAGACGGCATTGGTAGCAGACGACATTGAGATGCTAGGAGATGTGGTAGAACTGGAAGATTTTCATTGACGGTCGTTCATCCGATGTTTTGGAGTTGACTGGCAGATGGTGAAGCGATTGAGAAAATTAATCAATAGTAGTACAGCACACGTGTGGTTCTACCTCTGTGTTAGGGCCATCATTAGTATATCAGTGCAACAGCAGACGATGTGTCCATGTCAATAACGCTAACACTCCGTGTCCTCATGTTACAATCATAGTGTAGGTTCCAACGTTCTTGCCGATCATATCAGGAGTCCTGTTTCAGTGATCTGTGTGATCTTCTTTGCCAGTCCGATACACGTTCTACTGTTTTGGATTGTACAGTTGGACGTAGGCGGGTGAAATTGGGCATTGTAGGTGACGTCTGCTTGTCTCTTTGTACAGTTGGAAACAGATGGGAATAGTATACAAACGTGACCACAAGGTGTAAAGTGTATCATTCAGGGAACCATGGCGACCGAAGGGACATATATACTGGGCCACAGTCAGGTAGGTACAGTTTATGGCCTTGTTTTCTTTGTGCTCATGTTGTCACATTGATCCATCTTTATGTCAAAGTTGTTCTGTGGTAGTCACAGCGATTTATCTCGGATTCTCAACTAAATGCCCTTTGCAGGCAAACTGGGAAAGAAAATATCATTTTGTTCCAAATTTAGATTTAAAAAAAGTTATTTTTCTCAATTCTGATGTATTTTAACATTGCATTCAATGCAAATGTGTGAAACTAAGTATTAATACCATTCCCTCTATACTGGTCTTGTCAGTGATAGCCAAGTCTCTTTCTTAAAAACATAACATTAGTTTTAACTATGTTGACAGGAATTGGTTCATTTTTTATTCCAACTAGAATTTTCACTGACATTTGCTGCAGACTTGATGCTGAATATTGGTCTCTGAGTAGGTCGAGATAAATTCCTGATTTATATGGATGTTCCAGAATATCGATTGTGAGGCACTAGTTAAGTTAGTATCCTGATTTTTGTTCAAGATAGATAAATACTAGGCACGTATATTTTAGTAGTTTGTCCTTCAACCATCCTGTATTGTGTTACAGAACTGATTTGAGGTGTAACGTGTTGATTGATCACCAATTTGGTGATAGTAAAAATTTTTTATAACATTTTATGATTTGAATTAACTGGATTACTGTATATGACATGGGAAAAAATAATTGATTTTTCAATTTCCTATATGGCCCAAGCAGCCCAGCATTGAGTATTCCAGAGAATAGGACAGATGCTGACATTATATGATGTGACAATATTGCGTGTAGTAAACTGTATTGTGGATGATTTATGCTACCTATTAAATAATCATGTTGCTTTAATGACATTTCCACTGGTTAGTTTCATTGAAAGCACTGTTGTGGTGAAATTGAACTATTTAGGTAATATATTGATTTATCATGAGAGCTATCAAACTGGCTATAGGACCTAGATGGTTCAGCTGCTGGCTTTGAAATCCAGGCGTAAATGTGTGGTACCTGTCCGCTAGGAAATTAACTGTAGCTTGGTATAGCTGATGAAGAGAGGCGGAATGACTGCTTGGGCCGAATTGTTTGAAAAGAATAGCCAGGGACAGTCAGTGACAATGGGGAGCCATTAGCCATTATCCCGTGTTGCCTAGACATGACAATCAGGCTGCAGTGTCCCTGTAGTCAGACTTGGATCTGTTCAGCGACTACAACATTTTCTGTGTTAGGACAGAGCTTTTTGCATCCCTGTCAAGCATGGCTGTTTACTTACTCTTAAAAGAAGGACTTATAATGTCCACAGTCTCTTGCCTACTCACAACGTAGGCGTTTGACATTGTAAGTAGTTTGTTTGTTGTTTAACGCCGCACTCAGCGATATTGCAGCTGTATGACAGCCTTCTCTAAATAATCAAGTCTGGACCAGACAATCCAGTGATTGACACCATGAGCATCGATCCATGCAAAAACATGAATCAATTAAGCGAGTCTGACTACCCGATCCAATTAGTCACCTCTACCGACAAGCATAGTCGCCTTTTATGGCAAGCATGGGTTGCTGAAGACCTATTCTACCCCGGATCGTCAAGGGTCTTGTAAATAGTGCCCTTTGTGGAACTTGTACATTGTCTCTGTGTAATTAGGAAGATGATTAACTGCTAGACCCAGTGGGGAATCCGGGTTAGAATTGGTCCCCAGAAACCTATGCTGGTCGTAAGAGGTGACTTAATAGAACAGATAGTCAGGCCTCGTGACTTGGATGATTGCACTTCATCGTACCCGATGGCGTGGATTGTTGCTCACTTGGGCTAGGACGAGTCCAAATTTACTACCCGTGTACCCACACCCCTATTACCCGACCTACCCGGGTACCCACTGTAGATCTTAGGAGATGTCTGAAAATGTCCGATTGGGAACGTCTTCAGCATAGCCCTGGCAAAATGTATATAGATACACGTATTAAACAATCTTGTTATTCATTCGCTGAAGTTGAATTAAGTTATATCTTTATTCAGCCACATGAAAAATCAGAAGGAATGGGTGCATAGTCAGAAAGAAATTAGTGACTTGTAGTGTAACCATAGAGATAATTTTTGTCATTAAACAATATATCACATGACTAACCTCGGGTCCGGGTAGTCCTGTGGGTACCTGGGTCCTTCTCAGTACCCACTCGACCCGGGTACTCGAGTTGCCCGTCCCAGCCCTATTCCTCACAATATCAATCACCATTTTGTCTGGTCCAGACTCCATTATATACTGGCCAGCATCATATTAATGTTAGATTCATATATATAAATGTGGCTTTCTAAATAAACAAAGTTGTGTTTGAAAAACGTGACCAACATTCAATTGATCTCAACAATCAATGTGCCATTACCTTTTCCACCCCCCAAAAAGTCAACTGAAGCAAATGTATTATTAATAAATATTTGCAAAACATCAAATATGTCTCATATTGGTACCAATAAAATATATGTCTTTGTGAGGTTATTGGTTTGAATATTGGAGTAGGGCTGTATTAATACTCATTGCAATATGAAACAGGACATGATAGATGAAACCTGTGACAATTGCCCTATTCAAAGTGACGTATTCCATTATCAACGGCAATTAATTAATGAACACAGGCCAAGCCAAACATATTTATCAATGTTGTGTCAATTGAAATGCCTGTGAAACAAGACTTTTAAAAAAATAAAATTTGTGAATTACAATATTGAAATGTGAAAAAATATTAATGAAAAGTTGTGTTTTTTTCATTCCGACGACCAGAAATTCTTAACAAAACTCCAACACATTTACTGTCACTTTCAACATAAATAAACTAGTACAACCTGGTGTGACCTCTTGTAATAGTTTCATTCGTGTGTTTCAATAAACAGATAGGTGATAGAAATGTTAACTCGCTCAAGCTGTATCATTTATCGTTGAATCCCAGTACGCGCAGTATAATAAAGGTGTTAATGTCTCATTGTGTTTCAGTGGACATTATGACATTGAAATTGCCAAGCAGGGATGGCCCTACTATGATGGCACTGAAACATGATGAACTTCATCATTTAGAGTCACATATCTGCTACAGGGGATCCAATTCTCTTTATTGTTGATGTGAAGAGAAATTTACAGCAGTATCCCTTGGCTTATTTTCATTTCCTTGATGACCTTGTGTATTATATCTCTGTTCTGTTATGTTCGGGGGCACGGGTGGCCCAGTCGTCTAAGGCGCTGCGATTCGCTGTGCAGAGTTGCGTCCCTTGGGCATGCCAGAAACCTATGATTGTGGGTTCGAATCCTGGTTCGCCCCAATTATGTTTCCAGGCTTGTCAGCACCATACCCGTGCTCGTGGGTTTCACCGAAGTGGTAAACGTCTGAGACCTGCATCACTTCAGGCTTTCAACCCACATTAAGCTGACACGCCATGATATAATTGTAATACTGTTAAAGGCGGCGTTAAACCAAACTCACTCACTCACTCACTGTTATGTTCATGATATTGCTTGAATATTGATATAAGCGAATGATTATTTACAGACCGCCGTCATATGGCTGGAATATTGCTGAGTGTGGCGTTAAACAGCAAACAAATTCATGGCCTCTGTTCATGAAGTGATAATCCTGCAGGTTCCTGTCAGCAGAACATGCGTCAGAAGTATTAGAATTATGCAGAACCTCAATTATTATCAATTATAGCTAAAATGGATAGAATTATCATTAAACCGCCCGCATGTTATCAGAAATGAGCAGGCCACTGTAACTTGATAAACCCTCATATTGCTTGGCGCCGGGCCATTATCACGCCTATTGTTAGGTGACTTCATAGGGGTAGGGAAAGGTGACGTTGAATAGTGACGTCATCTGGTTTGTTCTATGCTGTTTCCATATTTGTAAAAGTTGGTCAGTGAAATTTGTGTTGATTGCACTAAACGTTTTAAAACCGATATTGTTCATTTTTATTTGATAACAAATTCTATCCATTTTAGCTATGATAACGGTAACGCTATTTTTCAGGGCATTATCATTTGCAGAAGCCCTCGGTCTTTTCAACTGCACTCCTTCGTCGGGCAGTTAATGGAAGACCTCAGGCTTCTGCAAATGATAATGCCCTGAAAAATAGCGTTACCGTTATCATCAATTTGAGAGTTCTGATTATCATTATGAATATTCAGGGTGACAACCAATATTTCACAGCTCGTACCTAGCCTGCTACCCAAGTCCCAACTGAAAACACAATGGCCACCTATTTTCTTATACCGATCCTCTTCGGAATGAATAGATTGCTGTTGGTTTTGTGAAACGTCCCTGAATTCTTGGTCAGAGAAACTAGAGGTTGCAGGTTATCTGACAATGTATGGATCTGTGTTTGGGAAGTCTCCAGGATATTGATTTAGAAGTCAGTATTATGTCATATAGGAATTCCCCCGAAGCGACTTGCAGCATTGCGATTGATTTCCAACTTGGCTGTATGTGGTAACGGAATGCTGTTGAGGCCCATTAGAAACTGTGGAAGTTATGTTAAGCTAAAAAGGTTGCAATGATCACAAGTATTTGAACCATTTTCTATTTGGAGGGAAATTGTTGATGTTTATGTTTTATGTCAAGAGATGTTTTAGGTGCACGATGTTTTTATGATTGTAAAGCAGTAATTGTAAATTTCAGAAAAGCTGTTGGTGATGTATTCATTTTAAAGATCAGGGTGCCGTTGTTCAAAACAACCTTAGCACTATGAATGTCTTAAGTCTATGTTAAGGTATTGGAGTTACGATCACCTTAGCGCTAAGATCGCTTTGTACAACGGCACCCAGGAAAAAGGCAGTAAATAAGCTGCAGTTGTGTGACTCTGGAATATTTGTAATCAAGACGTTTCCATGCAATTTGATGTAGATATGCGTATCGTGATTCGTATTGTATCGTGACCCATGTATCATGATACGTCTCATGTCATGACCTTGCTATTTTGTTTCACCTCTAGTTTGTTATATTTTGGCCTGTGGCATCTTTTAACACTTCGGGTATT